TTTTCTATTCGGGTTTTAAGCATATAGTGCACACAGATATGTTTATATTATTATTGAACGCAGAGGTTCGTGCTAACACTGATCAGTGTTGCAGAATCTGTTTGAACGCAGAAGTTCAAATAGTATTTATGCCTTGTAGGCATCTTGTCGCGTGCATCAGACTGTGGCTACATTGTGGATAAATGTGCTATGTGTTGTTGTATCATAGCCGATCGTATAAGAATTTTTATGTGACAAGCCTCTATAACTACTAAGTGACATGCCTCTATAATTACTAATGTGCCACAGAGTTTTTTATCATGTAAAATATGTGTACCCTTACAATTTTGTAGTCGGTTGTTTTTTTTTCGTACAATGCGTAGTCGTTTGTTTTTTTGTATTTTTTTTGCAAAAATAATGCTTTAACGACAAATATTACCTAAACAACAAGTCTAGACAGTTTATACATTTATGAGCCTCATATTGTTAAAAAACACGTATAAAAATGTAGATATTTTTTAGATGAACCGTCGTTTTGTGATGGTGCACAATTATGCATGCATGCTTTTGTGTAGCACATGTAAGACGTATCAACCCTGTATAAATCAACCAGGTACGACAAATTTAGCAACGATTCGTTGTCATGCTTGTCGTACAGGTGAAGATTTCAGTCATAACGGTTTCTATAAAATGACTGTCAGAGATGCTCGACGTAAAGGGAATGGGACAATTCGCCGTCGCCAATTCGCCGTCGCCGATTCACCGTCGCCCATTCACCGTAGGGACAATTCACCGGCAGCCGATTGGCTGTTGCCGATTCGCCGTCAGATCAATGCATTTTTTTTACGGTAAGTACCTATTTATTGATGTTTATTGAGTTGGTGTTTTTTTTTTATTAGGAATAAAATATTTTACAAGAACTGGAAAACAATTAGGGTGGTTTATCTTTTAATGTAGATTAAAGTATTTGTTGTTCATGTAATGACCATTAAAGTAAATAATGATTCAAGGATTTAAATTTCACTATTAAATTATAATTAGAAAAAAATTATTTAACAGGAAGTAGAAAACAATTAGGGTTGTTTATCTTTTAATGTACATTAAAGTAGTTGTTGTTTATTTAAAACTGTGGTGTTTAACAAGAACTAGAAAGATTAGGATTAAAGTAGTTATCCCTCCCTAATGAGCATTAGAGTGATTCTCATCATCATCCAGCCTCAAGAGTCCACTGCTGAACATAGGCCTCTTCTTCATGTTTCCAACCCCGTCTATCTTGCGCCGCTCTTATCCAGTTTTTATTGAGTTTTCTTAAATCGTCAGTCCATCTTGTAGGTAGTCGACCGACGCTTCTCCTGTCTTCCCTTGGCCTCCATTCCAATAACCTCTTTGTCCATCGCCCATCTGTCATTCTGGCTATGTGTCCTACCCGTCTCCATTTTAGTCTGGCTATCTTCTCGATGATGTCAATTACTCCGGTTCTTCTCCTGATGTCTTCGTTTGTTATTCTGTCTCGGAGAGTTATTCCTAACATGGATCGCTCCATTCTTCTCTGTGTGACTCTCAGTTTGGTAGCTGCTGCTTTTGTTAAGGTAAGTGTTTCTGCTTCGTACGTCAAGACAGCTCACTTTTATAAGTTTCTCTCAGTTTTCCAAATGCTGCCCACCCAAGGCCGACTCTTCTCTTCAGTTCATGAGTCTGGTTATCACTGCCAATCATAATTTCACGTCCCAGGTATTTATATCTATCTACGAGTTCTATTTCTTTCCCACCAATACTGATGTTCTGGTTGGGCACCAAATTGGTCATGATTTTTGTTTTCGAGATATTTATATTTAAACCTACATTTTCTGTAGCCACAACGAGTTCCTGTAACATCTCTCTTGCCATACCTAGATCTTCAGCTATTATAAGTATATCATCGGCGAAACGTAAGTTGTTTAGATATTCTCCATCTATTTTTATTCCCTTTGTCATCCAATCCAAACTATTAAAAGCATGTTCTAGCACCGTATTAAAAAGTTTAGGTGACATTGGGTCTCCTTGTCTAACCCCCGTTCTATTTTTATGCGATTACTGTTAGTATGTAATTTGACAGTGGTTGTTGCCTGCAGGTATATTTTGTATAATAATTTAGTATATCTATAATCTAGCCTGCATTCTTTAAGCGCCTGTAATATTTTGCTTAGCTCAACTGTGTCAAAGGCTTTGTGAAAATCGAAAAATATTAGAACTAGAGGTTTATTGTATTCCACTGCTGCCTCTATTAGGGTTTTTATACTTTGTAGATGGTCATTTGTTCCGTAACTTTTTCGGAAACCTGCCTGTTCCCTTGGTTGATAAGTCTCCAATTTTCTTTCTATTCTCTTAATTAGTATTCGCGTAAACAACTTATATATATGGCTGAGGAGGCTGATTGGATGAGGAGGGTGATTCTAGTACAATAAAAATATCGAAATTAGCTTCAGAATATAATTGAGTATCAATTCTGTAAACAAACAATATAATGGAGATGCCAATTTTGTCAGAAAAAGGAAAGGAGAAGTTTTCGGCAAATGGATATCTTTATATATTCGATGGATTACTTAGCCCATAACTACGAAATGTAGAAATTAATTTTTTAATAAAACAAAACATAAAACAATGGATTCCTTGTTTCATTTACTTAGCAAAAATATTTAATTAAACATAAAATTATATGAATTAAATTTTCGTTAAACACCAACCCTCAATAAATGGGTACTTACTAAAAAAAATTATTGCCTAACATTTTTATTCCAACAATAATTTAAACAAAAAGTTAAATCCTTGAATCATTATTCACTGATTATTAATGGTCCCACCCATATTAGAAGATCAACCACCCTAATTGTTTTCTACTTCTTGTTAAATATTTTATTCCTAATAAAAATTTAAACATCAACACACCATTAATTGGTACTTACTATAAAATAATTATTGCCTAAAATCTTCCATTCATAACCAAGTGTTAATAATAAACATTCTAAAAATTAAAATTCTGACGGCGAATCGGCGACGGCGAATCGGCTAACGGTGAATTGTCCCTACGGTGAATGGGCGACGGTGAATTGTCCTTTACCCCGACGTAAACGTGTTAAAACAACTAATCGTAAACAATAAGGGTATTGATATGTTTTTTCTAACAACCAAGCATTCATACAATGTTTTTTTGGATATCCCTCTTTTTGTTAGACATATAATCTTGACGACAATATATTGACGACAAAATTCGATGGATACCAGTCGAAAGAACAAGCTGGTTTTAGAAAGGGATTCAGCACAAGTGGCCATTTACTAAGTATAAAAATACTTATAGAACGAGCAAATGAATACCACATTCCTCTATATATGGCGTTCATAGATTTCGAAAAGGCTTTCGACAGTGTCGAACATTGGGCAGTAAAAAGTTCTTTGATTAACAGCCGAATTGACCACAGATATACGCAACTAATAACCAATATATATATATATAATATATATATATATATATATATAATATATATAATAAGGAAGCCAAAAAAACAATTAAAGTATATGAAGGAACAAAATCATTACAAATAAGTAGAGGCGTGAGACAGGGTGATACAATATCACCGAAACTTTTCAATCAGGCTCTTGAAGATACTTTTAAAAGATTAGAATGGGAAAAAAAAGGTATAAAAATTTGTGGACAACGCCTGAACCATCTAAGGTACGCTGATGACATCGTATTGATAACCGATAAAAAAGAAGAATTATTTGAAATGATGAAAGAACTAGACGTAGAAGCTGGAAAGATAGGCCTTAATATGAATTACAGCAAGACCAAAACTATAACAAATACAGATGAAGACATCACAATGAGAATCGGACAAGATGAAATAGAACAAGTTAAGGAATATTATATATATATATATATATATATAATATATATATATATCTTGGTCAAACTATAAAACTTAACAAAGAGAACCAAACAGCAGAGATCAAGAGACGAGTTAGACTGGCATGGGCGGCATTTGGCAAACTAAGCTACATTCTTAAAAACACCACAGCATCTTAAGACCAAAGTATATAATCAATGCGTACTCCCTGTTCTTACTTATGGTTCCCAAACGTGGACATTTACAAAAGCAAACATGGAGAAAATCATAAAAACCCAAAGAGCAATGAAAAGACAAATGTTGCACATAAGACTAATGGAATAAGAAGAGAAACGAGTGGATAAGAGAGAAAACAAAAGTGAGGGCTGTTAGACAAGAAGCTGCAAAATTGAAATGGAGATTTGCCGGACACAATATAAGACAAAAAGAAGACCGATGAAACAAAATTCTTATACGTTGGAGACCGTGGGAATATAAACGAAGCAGAGGAAGGCCCCAAATGAGATGGGCAGATGATATCAAGAAGCACGTGGGCTCTAGATGGATGACTGTAGCGACAGACAGAGAAGAATGGAAAAGGATTGGGGAGGCCTATGTCCAAAGATAAACCGAAGAAGGCTAATTAGATAGATAGATAGATAGATAATCTTGACTTTTGTTTGACATTCAAAGCAAACATTGATATAAACATTAATATAGATCTACTTTTTAGATGTCTAGGCGAAATTTTAAAAATATTTTTACTAGCCTGATCAGGTGTAGCGTGTGTCTAACATACCAAGCGTGTGTTAATCAACCTTTATCAACTGTATCTTTTTGGTGTCATAGGTGTCGTACAGTTGTACCGTCTAGTAATAAAACCTTCTATAAAATGGCCGTTAGAGACGCACGCCGCAAACATGTTAGCACAGTATCTTCTACAAAAAAAAACACATAAAAGACAACACATATTTCCTAACAACCATAAATTTATAACGATGTGTCGTTTTCTTATTTTTATTAACTTTTTTAAAAATCTTTTTTTATCATCTAAAATGTTGAGTTCTAACTGTATAGACAATTAAGTTACTCTCACACGATACTACTTCAAGACTGATGGCTGAAATAGTTACATAGATTTTTTTTATTATTGTAGAAAAAATGATAACCACATATTTACTGTACCCTGTAATCATCAAGCGCTTGAACTCTTTTGGGGAATGGATGCCCTGCCACCCCATCAAACCGATAGTAGTAGATGTTGCTGGTTTCTATTATACAGGTGTAAATGATAAAGTCTTATGTGCTTTTTGCGGTGTTGTTTATAATAAATGGATTGCAGATGACATACCGTTAGATAAACATAAAGACGATTGTTGTTTTCTGACTGCCTATAAACAAGCTCAAAAACTGTGGACTGTCGAAGAACGTCTAAAAACTTTTACAAATAGGAATATTTCTGCTAAAAAACACGCAGAAGCTGGTTTTTTTTATGAAAATGGTAAGACTTATTATATAACGAATAAAGACATTACTTTGATCAGTGTTCGATTAGCAACATTTCACAACAACGTTACTGGTTCGCGTACTCCTCTACGTACTTATAGTGAAATCAGAGCAGCTACATGCAATTTTATATATACAGGCCCATTTAAACGAACTATAACTACAGATCTTTGTATTATCATTGATATCTTCAAAAATGTGGAAACACAAGACACTGAGGTAAACAGAGAAGCGAATGTGGAAACACAAGACACTGAGGTAAACAGAGAGGCGAATCAACGTATTATATGTAAAATTTGTTTATGTAGGGAAATTAACATCTGTTGTCTATGTAGAACACCCGTAGAATGCACACCAAGACTTTATATATAATATATCTAATGTTGACTCATTGTTATGTAATGATTGGTTGTTAGTATTACTACAGATAGGCTAACCTGTGTATTATGTAAGATCTTCGCAGGATGACCTACATGATTACTATCATAAAGTCTTAACATGGTTTTACGAAGATCTTACATAGATATACAGTGTCGTTGCCATGTGGCTATGCAGCAACGTGCTTAGACTGTTGCGACTTGTTGCTTATGCCGAACCCTCCCCGTAGCTTTCACGACATGACTTTATATTGAATGTTATACAACCGTATTGTTTGTCTGTATTTTTTCTGTTTTATACATGTTTCAATGCGGTTTATTAGTCCTTTGTAGTATTTATATTGTTAAAAAAAACAGGCACTTACACCTAAATCGGTAAAAGAATCTTTTGTTTTTGTTCTAGTAACATGGCTTGTACTGTAACACTTTTGAATCGCCGATATGTACGAAAGTTTGACGCGTATTTACATACATACTCTTGCACCACACCACGCACAAATAATGCTACAGAGACTTGCTCACTACATTAAATAGTTGTTTAGAAGATGTAAAAATAAAATCAAACTATGTAGTAGGTGATAAAATTAGAATTATTGCTAGTAACCCGCGCTTTAATCAGCCCCTTTCAACAGCAGCGTCTACTTCTACCACATTTGGCAGTTTATTAGATCTAATTGAAAACGTCTTGACATCTGACGAGTCGGTCAATATTCACGAAACAACGTTTGACATACAAGTGCTGAAATTACCTAGAGGCTATGGTCGTACCAGTACCTTAAATTTAGCGAGAAACCGTCACACCAAGCGAAGTATAACTGTAATTCGTAACAGTGATAATTTGTGTGCCTTAAGAGCCATAGTCGTTGCTTTAACTTACCATACAGCAACTTTCCTAAAATACACTTTAACATCTAGACAAATAGCAAACATACGCAGAGGTCGTCAATTTCAAGGAGTGCTAGCTCGTGAACTATGTGAAATTTTGGGATTAGATCCCACAATTGGCTGTTCTCTGCAGGATATTCAGCGAGCTGAACAACTGCTTGATGTACAAATTAAAATTGTTTGTGTAGAGAACTTCAATTCGGTTATTTATGCAGGACCACCAAACCAACAATATTATGCTTGTATAAAATAAAAGACCGTTATGATGTCATTAATAGTATGACCGCTTTTTATGGGACTCTTTATTATTGTCAAAGATGTGACACTTGTTACAGAAACAAAAATAAACATCGATGTAAAAAGTCTATAATATGTGACATGTGTAACCGCCCCGCATATAAAGAACAAAACAAAATTTATTGCGACAACTGTAATAGGTACTGTTTTAATGAGGAGTGCTGGCAGAACTATGGGGCCGTGTGTGCACTTGTACATAAATGTACAGGTTGTAACAAAGTAATACAGAGAAATAAATGGCATCACTGCGGGTTTAGCTTATATACGAACTGTTGACCTAGTGGGTGGAAATCGCTACACATAAGTTCTACATGCAGAGAAAGACTGCCAAAGGAAGGTATTTGTCCTGTACCATGCACCTGCAACGAACGTTCGGACAACTTAAACGGAGGTTGCAAAGCACATTACAAGCAACCAATCACCTGTACCGTACCGTGCGTCTGTAACGGTCTTACAGACGTTGTTGTACGTACATGTACTCATACAGAAAAATAGCCTACTTTTTGACTACGAAGCAATGCTTGTTGAATGGAATACATGTACCTACTTTAATAATAGCACATGATTTCGATCGAAATAAATTTGTTTTTAAAGATAACAACGAGTTTTGTCAATGGTTAATTTCTGTGAATCACAGAGCATACACAGCGATCGCTCACAACGCTAAGGGTTATGACTCGTATTTTATCTTGAAGTACTGCGTATGTAATACCATAAAACCCTATACTATTTACAGCGGCTTTAAAAATTATAGATAGCTCTAATTTTGCAAGAGGCCCATTAGCGGATTTCCCTAAAACTTTTGGGTTGACTGAGTTGAAAAAGGGGTATTTCCCACATTATTTTAACAAGACAGAACACCATTCGTACATTGGTCCACTCCCTGATACTTCTTATTACGAGGCCAAATACCATGAAACCCAAACAAAGAGAAATCTTTTTACAATGGCATGCTGATAAAGTGTTTGAGAACTACATCTTTGATTTCCAAAAGGAAATTCTTGCATACTGTGACTCTGATGTTGATATTTTGCGCCGTGGTTGTTTAGAGCTTCGTAAAGAATTTGTAGTTG